CAACTTATTGATCGACATTCAGCACTACAAACGTCGCATAAGGAAGATTCCGACCGCATTCCATTCACTCTCACGTTTCACCCTCACAACCACTCAGTTAAATCCATCATTCTTAAAAACTTTAAATTACTTCAAAACGATCCAGAGACAAGCACTATCTTTTCGCAGCCTCCGCTCATTTCATTCAAACGCGACAAAAACATAGGCAATTTTTTGGTCAGAAGTTCTTTTCAGACTAATGACCAACCAGGCACTTTTAAATGCGCTCGTGCACGATGCAAAACGTGTCCTTTCATTCACAACACTGATAAAATATCGGGACCTAAACGATCCATTAAGATCACCGATCACTTCACGTGCACCTCCGCCAATGTAATCTATTGCATAACTTGCACTTATTGCAAAAAGATATACATCGGCGAAACAGGCAGAAGACTAGGTGACCGATTCCGAGAACACCTTCGAGACGTGGAAAGGAATGACAAGGACACATCGAAACCAGTCGCTAGACATTTTAATTTACCTAATCATTCTAAGCAACATATGGCAATCTGCGGTCTTTCCTTACACTTAGGTAGCACGGAAAGCCGTAAAACTCTTGAACAAAAGCTCATCTTTCAAACCGGCAGTCTAAATCCCACAGGGATCAACGAACGCTTTTCATTCCACTAATTTATTCGTGTTTTTCTCGTTGCCATGTTCCCACCAATAACGTAGCTCCATTTTCTGCCTTTAAAAGCACACACAACCCACAATTCCTCTATTCGCTCCGACGAAGGGCTAACGCTCGAAACGTCAGCTTTTGTAATCGTTACGGTGGCCAATTTACCATTTCAACTTTGTTGATATATCCAAATTATTTCGTTACCCCCACTGACGCAGCCCCAAACAGTTTCTTTAGAAACTACTGAAGCCTTTATTCATTTTCGAGCATTAGCTCTTCGTCAGAGTGACTTAGGGTAGCGATCTGAATTCAGTTTTAAAACTGGATAAATAAATAAATAAAGTTATTAATGGTGAAGTATTTACCATGCTTGCGAAGACAACTGGCTGATTTTTTCCATCACAGACACTCTTCCCAAGGTTCACTAATTGTTTCACAGGCTTACCATCTTAAATATCCGTGGTTTCGGGTTTCTATGGTAATGGGGTGTGGACAAAACCTTGCCTACCCTGTGGCCTACCCTATGGCCTACCCTATGGCCTACCGGTGGTCAGATTTTTAAAAGGATAGCATTGCTGGAAACCTTTCAACGTTTTCCTGAGTACTGTCTTACCAACGACTTTTTTCTGCTGTTTTGGTGGTCACATTCCGATCAAAATTTCTTAACCTTCTGATAGAATAAGGAAATCGGGGAACAGAAGCCGGTTAAAAGCAACTTTTGGGAAAACATCATATCAGCTCTCTTTTCAAATTAGTGCAATACTGGCCCTCTCTTTGGAAAGGCAAGTAAAGTTTGCGAAATGTTTATGATGGCGATGCGTGCGTGTCCCGGGGTGCTCGTTGCAAATTCAATACTCTACAGCACTTGAGGGAACTAAAAAAATTGGCCTGGCATGTAGTGCTTGCGTTTTTCTTACCTGGATATGTATGCTCTTCGATATAACACCGTTCATTACATTTTTACACCAGCACTCCACTATATGTTACCAACTGACAGCCTGCATCATAAAGCCACCATTTTGCATATCCTCTGCGACCATGCAATATTGGGCCCTCCTCTCTCCTCCCCCTTAAGCTACCGTTATGGTTGAGTGCTGTGATATTTGCAGTGTTTCGTTCCCTCGGACGTTGAAAATCATGTTAGCGACCTCTTAGTATACCCTTTTCAGAGACAGATAATTGTACACCAGTGTATTCGTTTGACTCTTACTGATTTTATTTTTGTTCTTAAAAATCTGACCACTGGTAGGCCATAAGGTAGGCCACAGGGTAGGCCACAGGGTAGGCCATGGCCTAGGCCAGGTTTTGTCCACACCCATGGTAATGGGTCCTGTGGCATTTACATAGCCGTTATAATTTTAGTTAAAATATATTGCCTCTCGAATCTGTCCCTAGTAGTCAGTCTTCAAAAAAAATCAGTTCCGAATAAAGCTTAATAGTTCATTACTTGTTTGGAAGTGTTTTTTTCTGCCAGAAAGCCTCAAAATTGCTCCTTTGGGGATTTCAAAGTTCAGCGGTTAATTCGGCTTGCTCTCCATAGTTAAGAAATGCGACAAGGTAGGCAGCTTAAGTATCCAGATCGTGTACCACCTCGTACTCGAGACAAAAATGTTTTACCTTCTAGGTCTTATTTTCCCACTGAAATTCAACAGGCCTCAGGAATATCCAGCTGTTACAGTGACTCGGTATTGAATCATTCCATTCAATGGTTTACGAGAAAATGGAACGCAAAGTCGTAGATTTGGAGCTCTTCTAGGGATCTGCACATGAGGGGTACTCAAAGGAATTCCAAACATGCATTAACAACCGTTAAAGCAAATTCAAACTTACATATCTAACACTCGATGGGTTTATCTGAGAATGTTTACAAAAACTATCTCGATTCTTATTGGTCAATCTTGGCTTACGACGTCCGCCGGAAGTACAAAGTAGCTCCTTTGAGGCCCTGACAGGGAATTCAATTTTTCACATTTTTGTACCTCAGGTAGGGTGGCTGGGTCCAAAATTTGATAACCGAAATGCATGTTTGGAATTCCTTTGAGTACCCCTCATGTCCGGATCCCTAGAAGAGCTCCAAATCTATGACTTTGTGTTCCATTTTCTCGTAAACCATTGAATGGAATGATTTAAAACAGAGTCACCTTAACAGCTGGATAATCCTTCTGTGGCCTGTTGAATTTTGGTGGGAAAATAAGACCTAGAAGGTAAAACATTTTTGTCTCGAGTATGAGGTGGTGTGCGATCTGGATGCCTAAGCTGCCTACCTTGTCGCATTTCTTAACTATGGAGAGTGAGCGGAATTAACCGCCGAACTTATGAAAGCCCCAAACGAGCGATTTTGAGGCTTTCTGGCAGAAAATAACACTTCCAAACAAGTAATGAACTATTAAGCTTTATTCAGAGCGGATTTGTTTTGAAGACTGACTACTGGGGACAGATTCTAGAGGCAATATATTTGAACTACATTTATAATGGCTATGTAAATGCCACAGGACCCATTACCATAGAAACCCGAACCACGGATATTTAAGATGGTAAGCCTGTGGTTGTTTACTTTGCATCAACCTTGGTGTATGTAAAACATGGTTTTGTTCTCTGTGCATAGCACAGCTAATACATTGCATAGCTAATTCCTAAGGTTTATTAACAGTACTAGTTATATTGGAGCAATTGAAAAGTTGGAATTCTCCTCCTTAGGGTTTCTCATCTTCCAAAATTTAGCTAAGCTTGGGCGTTGTAAGGTAAATTATGTAATGTCTATCTCATTCCAAAACATCCTGTATTATTTCCTCACAGGTAAAACTCAGAAGCTGAAAAGGGCCAAGGAGGAAGCACAGGCTGAAATCAAGACCTATCGTGAAGAACGGGAGAAACAGTTTCTGAATTATCAGCAAGAGGTAATTTGATATCAATTTTTGTCTAAGCATAACACTTAGGCGGAATACATATACAATTTGTGGTGCAGTAAGAATCATTAAGATCTAGTTTGCAATATCTTTTAAAACAAACATCTACTTTAGAAAAAAGCTAAAATGCAGGCTTTAATTTTTTCATGGTACAATCAAGTACAGTCAATCTGGAGGAAGTACTAATGTACATGTACATGGCAGGGTGTTCAACACTGGAGATAACAGATTTACCATGCTACTGAGCAACATTATCTGGCCATATTTCACCCTTTCAGCTCCTATGAGTGACCAAGACTGAATTTCTTGTTACAGTATCAATAGATTACCAGCAGACAGTTGATGAGAATAAAGAAAATTATATGACTGTGCTTGGTAGAGAACAAATAACGTTTGAGACGATTACAAATATCATGTGATATTCATACTCCAGAAATATTCACAAAATTTTCCCTCACTGAAATAGCAATTTGGCGTGTTGGATAATAAATCTCTTATTAGACATTTTGTTGTGTAGTATCGCTGAGTAGTTTTACTCTTCGTTTGTATTTTGACTTGCCCTACAGGCTTGTCAAAATATGGCACAACTCATAAAAATACGCAGCGATACTATACAACAAAACATCCAATAAGATATGCATATATCAGTCAGGGGATTGATAGCAGATGCAAAACCAAATTCTGCAAACTAACATCATAATGATAGTATGGCAGAAGGTAAGGAGAATTTAACTATTGGAAGGAAGTCTTGGGAGTGAAAGGGTAAATGATCTGAGCTGTTCTTATTCAGAGGTGGGGCAGTTATGTAATATATTTTTCCTGATTATTTTCACTAATCTCCTATTATTACAAATTTTCATTTCTTAATTAAACCTGGAATACAGTGATTGGATACCTAAATAAATACAAAATATCAACAAAAAAAAATGCATTGAAAAAATTCAATATACTGGGCATGAATTTGTATCTAGTGTATTTGTTATTCAAAAGCCTTGTGTTACCTATGAACACATTTGATACAATTTTTTTCAACAGCATATGGGGTCCAAAGATGACTTTCAAGCTAAAATTGAAGAACAGACAAATGTGAGACTTGACCAAATCAGTGAAAGTGTAAAGAAAAACAAGGAGGAGGTTATTCAGAGGCTTTTAGCGCTTGTGTATGACATCAAACCAGAACTGCACCAGAATCTGAGGACATAAGCTCTGATAATAAAATTTGGCAAGATTGTTGCAAATAGTCATGATTATTATTATTATAAATTATGTTCCAAGGTGCAGGGATATGTAACTGAGAGATTAGAGTGCTGGTTTTTATGATGTGGACAATGTATTAGCTATGGAACTGTGTGATTTATCTTGAGAGGTACAGACGAAGGGGTATCAGTTTGGCAAAATGTTACATTTGATAATTTTTTTGGTGAAAATACCAGCAAGAATTTTACCATGATAATGATATGTAGCAAGTATTTAATTATTATTAGCTATAATATGAACATTGTGAGGTATTTGCATGTAGGAACTTATGAAGAAAAATGATAATGTACAACACCTCCTTGAATTTATTTAGTGCTTTTCTAAAAGATTCAGCTTTATTTCATTTCCTCTTCAAAGGGAATTTGGAACTGATATCCCTGTCTTTCCTTCCTAAAGGTTATGATTAAACAGGGAAAGTTTTAACCTTAGTGTAAACTATTGCATGTACCTTTTTTATGTATAGTTTTACAAGGTAAACCATCACCTCCAGCTTATCCTGTACTTTGTATTTGATGCTGTTACAATAAAACTACATAATGACCAACTGCAATTTTGTGCCTGTTATCCTGTTATGTTCAGTTTAGGAACATTTATGTCTAATGCACCATATATTCTTGAGGCATTTACTCAATCTACATATTTATATTGTTTGTTTTACAGTCAAGTAGTTATGTATGAAAGTGATCCTCGCAGTAATGATTCCTACTTATGTGATAGTGGAAGTAAGGCCTGAAAAAAAATTTGGGCCTTTATGGGATTTGAACTCATGACCTTTGTGATGCTGATGCAGTGCTTTTAATTACCAACTGTCAGCTAACAAGCCAACTGGGAGCTGGTTTGAAATATCTGTTTTTTACATTGTTAATGTCCCATTCTTCACAATTAAGATAGTATTGTTAATTGCCAACATTTCAGTCTACCAGCACAGGAAAGTCAGTTGCACTAATTCTTTAATTTTCCAGTGATTTGGGGCATGTGTCCACATGTCTGGTGTACATTAACCTTGTACTAAATCCACTATTTTGATTGTAGGAAAACGATGTTTGGCATCGTTTTCATCGTTTTTAAGTTTTTTTGCCCCCCATTAATAACGGCAGCTTTTGTGAAAAACTGTGTTTTGAAGCTAGTAGAGCAGATTTCGGGTCACTGTTGGGGTTTTAAAAGCCTCAAACTTACTAAAAACCCATTGACAGCTCCTACACTCAATGGCCTTTCGATCCAAATGCAAAATGGCAGCCTGAAAATCTCAGGCATGCGCAGAAAGCAAAATTTTTGGGTTGAAAAGTAATGCCCCACTTAGGACTTTTACTTTTCTCTCTTTCTCCTGCCCTTTTTTCCCCCTTTCCTTGCCTGAAGTTCCTCCTCACTCGCTGGAAATTTAGTAGGCTTCATTTTGGTGTAGAGATTTTTCAGGAAACTTAACTCATTATTTTCAAACCACATGCTCAGAAAGGTAGGTTGGTAATTCAGGTCAAAGTTACATGGTTTTTTGGCTATTTCTCCAATCTCCTTTGCTCAATTGCGCTCATTCTGGTATCATTTGTAAGATATTTTCAACCTGTTCAAGTACATGCTCAAAGTTGTGCTCCAGGGTTAAAAGTGATGACATCACAAGGCGTAGAAAGGGTGTTGGTCCACATGCGCGCTTATGGGCGCACTGGACCTCAATAGGTTAAGCAACATCATGATTGGTGTTTGTAATGTTATAAGTGAAATTAGGCATCAATTTGTCTGTAGATTAATATTACAGCTTTACACCATGGCTTAGCTGCTTGCATCTTTATCCATTTTTTTCCTTCTTCTTTGACCCCAGAGAACTTTAGAAGAATAATTATTGAGTATTGTATAGGAACTCGATGAAAGCAAAAACATCCTCCACTGGAGGGATGGCAAATTTGTACTGCTCACAGCTTCCCCCTTGAGCCAATAGAAAAATCTTGCCAGTGTTTTTTATAAACTACAGGCTACAAGAAAGCTGACCAAGTGGAAACAAGGCAAATGATTTAACCCAAGCAGATAATTGATCATCTTTGGTCACCACTGAGGAACACAATTATTACATACAACTAGAAGTCAAAATATTTTTGAATAACAGAGTACAATCATTTTTTAAACTTACAATTGGTGGGAATAACCTCTCTTAAATCTGAGGGGATGAATCAAATGATACAAAAGGTTTTTGCTCTTGAAACTGTTTCACTTCTTTGCCTCTTTATTTACATATACTGTTCTACAGACATAGCATAAGTCATTTTGTTTAAATCAGTATCTACTTGATAGATTAAATTCCTGACTAAAAAAAAGGTTTCTTAAAACTGCAAATATCCTAATTAGATTCCAAAGACTTTAAAACAAGAATGAAAAGGAAACAAACATACCCCCCACAAGATAGACAATGACAAAAATATACCTCAAAAGTAATCTAAAACTTTAAAGATTTCTCTTAAAAACAACAATAACAAGAACCCTTGCTGTAGCTCTCACTATGCATTACAATTAATTGTAGGACGAAATCCTAACTTTTTTAGTCATGGTAAACTTCACACCCCTTCTATTCCAAATTCCAGTTACCTGAGCTTCACAGCTGTACAGTGCTACCTGTACCTTAATTTTTCATTTGTTTATAGACAAGTGTCATTATGGAATAAACAGGAATCTGCAAGCCAGTTAGTAGAAATCAAATAAAAGCAGCAGTCTTTAATCAAGTTTTATATTCTCATAGTAAGATGATGGAACAAAGAAAAAGTTAGTGCTTTTCAGACCAGGAAAGGCAAAGTGTTGCATTGATATTACAAAAAATACAAATTAATGTAATAAATTTGTTTTACATTACATATAAAATGAGCCATCCAGCCCAATTGGGTACTTGTTGTTTTCATGAGAAATATGAAAGTTGTCTTGAAGGAATACATCTTTATTTTAAAGACAAATGCATATATCATGCCTAGAGAATAAAACACCCTCAAAGAGCAATTTTTCTCTCCCTAAAGTCACTACTGACTTCACTTCCACTGTTGGGTTGGATATCCTCCTGCCTGATATGGAGGTGGTGCCTGTCCCATGGGGTAGTAACCAGGTGGGTAGTGCTGGTACCCTGGTGCTGCTTGTGGGACGGTTGTCACTGTCGCAGCTGGTGGGACATGCAAGACCTGCACCCCTGCCCCTGGAGGTGTTACATAGGTAGTGGCTGTTGTTTGGTACGCAACTGGCCGCTGCACAACAACAGCACCAGGACGCGAAGGCCTGCCAAACAAGGCACCACAAGCACTGTCCACTACTGATGCAACACCACTCACTGCGCCGTCAACAGCTCTGTAGAGCGGGTCGTTAGGATCCACACTCGGCTTGGGTCTACCGTACGGGTAAGGATTGCCCGCCATGGCGGGGTTCACGAAGGCAGGTGGTTGTGGGGGAGGCATACTTGCCCTCCTTTGCATGATGACACTGACTCGCTGCCGATCTTTCATGAAGGGGAAGACGTCGTTAAAAACAGGAAAGTTCGGTGGATCGGTGATTTGCACAACGACCAGCTCAAGCGCCTGAATCTTGTTTTTGTCGAAGGAAAAAGCCCTCAGAATCGACAATATGCTGGCACACGTCGCAGGCAACATTTTCCCAACACAAGCTTGAAGTCCTTTAAGGCGATCATCGTCGAAACTGAACTCTCTCATCAGTTCTCCGACTTGCTCTGCGTAGAAATATCCTTGAGCATAGGCAATTGCTTTCACTTTGTCGTCTTTGAAAGGAAGGCGCTGGACCTCTCCTTTCACCATTCCAAAAGATGTAGGATCCATCTCACGATATCTTAATAACCGAACTTTAGAACAGGAGCAAATAAACAGCGTTCTTGATAGAGATTTATCAATCTACGCGGTGGAATCTGTCCTATATAGTTGCTTCTTGAAACAATTTCAACATTCGTGAAGGTGGTTTCCGCGAAATTATGCTTACATCATATTCCACTTTTAGCGAATTACGCAGCTGATTGGAACCCACACAAACAATACAAACATACCGACGCAGCCCTCCCACCTGCTAATTTTGACCGCGCTTTGTAAACACAGGTCAGGAGCTTGAGACCTTGTTTCGTGAAGTGTCGAAGTGTCGAAGTGTCGTGATCGCCATCGCTTGATTATTCTCTTCGTAAATATATCGGAAACCGAAAGTCAAGCGAAAATTTAAAAACATGGTGACGGATGAAGGCTCGACTGTGATTATAACATTAGTATTATAAAACTGTAGTACATAGAATTAGTTGCTGGGACAATGGAAACTCAAGCTCTGACGAACTCTTTGAAGACTGTTTTTAAACAGAATGATTTCAAGTCGAAACTCCAAAAGGAAGCGATAGAATGTCTCTATAAAGGCGAGTCACGTTTCTTATGAAATTTAAAAAGCCCGTGATGTTATTTATTTATGATTAATTGAAAACAATCTTAAATAACCAGATCTTCGAAAATGACCAGGTCTGTTTCAGAGTTTTGAGCTAATACAGCTTCCAACAGCAAAAGTAAGCAATGACTGACATGGTATTTAAATATTTTACAAACGTTGTGAATTAGATCAGAGGCCGGATAGCAGTACAGCAGAGTATATCTACCTATCCAAACAACAGTTGTTTTATTTTTACTGTTTGATTTACCGAAGTTATTTTCAATTATGAATCCAGTGTAATCAAGGAATTTATTCTGTCTGGTTTATATTGCAAATTGGTCAAGAAACTTCCCTCACCCTCTCTACCCATCAAATGCAAAACCAAATGCAAAACCAAATGCAATCGTGACTTGAAATCACTGGCATGCTCTGGGTTGGTCCACATTAGGCATCAAGCTGAAAGGATTGAGGTTACAAGACAACCAAAATTTTTGCCACAGCAGAAAGTTTGTGATAGATTTATTTTTTGCCTCCACACTAGTTCACAACATCTCAAACTCAAAATGATAAATACTGCAATTGAAATGTTCTACAGAAAGTGTAGACTCAAAGAAAGAAGTTGGCTATTTCCATTATTTTTACAAATATTAATTTTTATTTTTGGCTATAGTATAGACACTCAATGTTAATCAATAATCATATTTTTAACAGGGAAACAAGATGTCTTTGTGTCCATGCCTACTGGATCAGGAAAGTCACTTTGTTATCAACTTCCAGCAGTTATGGCCGAGGGAATAACAATTATCTTTTCCCCTCTGATTGCCCTGATTCAGGATCAAGTATCACACTTAAAATCACTCTCTATTGAAGCTGAAACAATTAACTCAAAACTTTCAGCTTCTGAGAGAAAGCAAGTGTATTCAGAAATCTATAAGCTGAAGCCTTTGATCAAGCTTTTGTACATCACTCCTGAACTTGCAGCAACACCTGGATTTCAGAGAGTATTAAGCTCTCTGCATAAGAGAAAGCTTTTGTCATACTTTGTTGTGGATGAAGCACACTGTGTGTCACAGTGGGGACATGACTTCAGGCCTGATTACTTGAAGCTTGGCTCATTACGAAGACAGTTTAGCGATGTGTGTTGGATTGCCCTCACGGCAACTGCTACACCTCCCGTTCAAGAAGATGTGCTCTCCTCTCTCCAGCTGCACAAACCCACGGCAATTTTCAAGACTACGTGCTTTCGGCCAAATTTGTTTTATGATGTTTGGTATGTAGAACTCACCATTGGAATTGTAGAGCTTTGATCCTTGTAAATTCAGAATCTCAAGACTTCTCCACACCAGATACTTTCTCCTTGTAGCTCAAATAATGTTTCTATATTAGATCTTGTATCAGACATACATTCAATTGATTCACAGAGATCTGAAAAGCCTATTTCAGTATGAAACCTAGCAAAACTAACTGGACTATTTCTGATACTTGTTTGCATTAGAATATTGATAGTGCAGAGGTTATTGTCTTGTTATAAGTGATACTTTTTTGCAATTTAAAGTTTCAAAGAACTTCTTGATGATCCATATGCAGACCTTAGGGATTTTGTTGAGTCAGCACTATCAGAACAGGACAACAGTGTAGATGTGGAAAAGGTAATCTTCAAGAAATGTTATTACACACTTCATCTCCAAATTAATGAAGTGAAATTTTTGTACTAAACATACTCTTTCTTTTAATCCCCTACTCTCCATATAAAACAATTGTCTGTTATTTGTTTGGTTTAAGTGGCATCACAGTACAAATTATATGTCACATTTAAAAGCCTGCGTAGGTTACCGATTAACATATTCCCTGTCTGAACCACAGACTGAAATGTAGAGTATGTATGGTCAAATATGGGTGGTAATTTTGAAAATAATTAATGACTCACCTTTTGGCTGACCCAGGGCTCGACACTAACTTTTCAACTTACTAGCTAAGTGGCTAGTGACATCTTAGATTTTATGACAATTTCAATCTGTTTACTAGCCAAACTGGCCAGTGAAAAATGAAAACCACTGGCCAAAATTTAATTTCTACCAGTTTGTAGCTACAGTAGTGGGCTTCCATTAGTGTTGAGCCCTGGGCTAATACCAAGAGTTTTGAATAGCCATCCTCCTCCCTACCAAACTGGCCATCTGAAGCCTTTGAAGTAAGCCCTGCCACCCATCCCAAGGGCCTTATTCTATCTGATGTCAAAGCGTCTCTTGCATTTGTTGACTTAAATATCCTCAAGGGTAGTGGTATTATCTACTGTCGTACACGAGATGCCTGTCAAGAGGTAGCTTCAAGGCTGAGCAGAAAGGGAATCTCTGCAAAGGCTTATCATGCAGGTATATGGCTGTCCCTATTTATTTTAAGCCTAAAATACAGTATTTAGTAATTAATTTTTTATTGATTCTGGGGTACATTTCAAACAAACTAATTAAAAATGCACATGTCATATTCCGATACCTGTCATCCTCAACCTCTGACATACTTTAATGTAATATCACTGTTATTGGGTTGGTAGCCTTAAAAATCTTGCACAAAGGCAGATTGGCTTACATGGGTGGATTGTATCATAGTTTTCACAGCATGAGGTGACTTGGACTTTTGTTTCTCTCACTGGATTGGATGGTGTGTAGGAATGTTACCCTCAGAATTTGATCAGGTTTTGCTGATAATTCAACAGTCAGTATTATAAATTACCCAATTCAAATTCTGGCCCCTGTTGTTTGGAGGATGGATATGGATCAATCTCTGATTGGTGTCCAGATAGTGCAGTATGTTTTGGTAACACTGTAGCTCATCTTCTGGAGAGTCATTTATCCGTTGGATAGACTCATTTTCCTCCCTTTGAACATTACCTAGCCCTAGTTGGGTGCAATTAATATACCACTGCATACGGGTTTGTTTACCTGGCATCTTTCATTCCAATTTAGATTCTCTGTTATCTTTAAAATTTCCTGAGCATGTTTCTAAAAAGCGTGATCTTTGGCACTGGTACAGGTTATAATGTAATTGTTTAACACAGGTCTGAAACCAGCTAAACGAGATGAGGTCCAGCAGGAGTGGATGGATGGAAAAGTTTCAGTTATTGTGGCCACTATTAGTTTTGGTATGGGAGTTGACAAATCCTCAGTAAGGTAAAGATGCCTTTTTCTAGACAAATGTATTGGATATTTATGCTACTAGCCTAATTCTAAGTGGCCATCACTGGCTGTGTATCATCTGGTTTTCTTTAATGTCAAGAGATGATGTTCCTACTAGAAGCTTGTAGGAAAAGGGAGTGGGTGCCATTGTGGGTTTACCTGAAATTTGGACTGTGAGGCAGAGGTTAACATACTGTTTTTATATTGTAATATGGTAAACATAATTGCAGAAAAGGTATAGTTTTGCAAATATGTTTTAATTAGCAAATATTTTGCCTTGCTCAATGTGAACTTCAAGACATTAAAGATGACATGCACTGGTCATTTTTTGATTACCATGCACCTTGTGCATGGCTTTTATCACAATTTGTTTTATTGTTTCTAATGTTTTCTTATTTTTATGAAGAGACACATTCTTATTTTTGGTTACAGCCTATCAACTTTTGTCTTTTTTGTCACATTTCCAGGGTTGTTGTGCACTGGACTTTGCCACAGTCAATGGAGGGGTACTACCAAGAGTCAGGTAGAGCTGGGAGGGATGGAAAACCTTCCTTCTGCAGATTGTATTATTCCAAGTGAGTCAGAGTAAAAATCTTTGATTTGGCCTTACCTCTGGTGTAACTTATCTATCACCTTTTGTACCACAACACTTTATGGCATTCTTATTAGTGAAGTAGGTCTCTCAGAAGAACTGGCAATGATCGTTACACAGAAATTTATTGGACTATCATTTCTTTCTGCCCCTTATTTCAGGCTTGAGAGGGATCAAGTATTTTTTCTCATGAAAAAGGGAATCAAGGAAAGGAAGGTAGAATTTTAAATCTTAGTGTGCCTAGTACTCCTCAAAGAGTACAAGTTAGAATAATGGGACTAAAATTTTCTCAAAGTACAACTTGGAAATATAATTCTTCCCAACAATGAAAACTTTCAGACTTCATTGTGCTCATAGTTTTGGGTTGGAGAGTGGTGAGCATATTCCTTAATATTTGATGACAAACGAAGATTTCCCTGTTGGAAGGTTTTTTTTTTATTTAATCCACAACTGAGGGAGTATGCCAGAATTATTAAACATTATGCAGAGGTATACTGTAGTTATCAAGTTCCCTGTTGAAGCATTTAATTGGATGCTTGTCTATCACTGGTTATTTCCACTAGGAATTTTTAATAATATGCTGCTTCCCATATTTTCCCCTGGTTAGCCTGAGATAGGTACTGTAAGGGTAAAGTGTCTTGCCCAATTGCCCAAGAAATTAGTATCCTACAACCATGTGGAATAGGTCAAGAACAATTCCCTCTATCGATGCTAGATCAGTGTCACTCTACACGAGTTAAATCAAATTCGATACTTTACCCCTCATTACTTAATAGCATGGCTTTTTTTGGACGTTTGCCGCAAGTAAAGACTTTTCTAAATGGCATTTTGTTTTTTTTTGTAGCAAAGTGCTTCTTCCAGTGGAAGGAAGGATGAAGCAGTTCAGTCTAGTTACCACGCAATTGTAAAATATTGCGAACAACCAAGGTAGGAAGAATGATATTGTAGTGGTCCCTCTGCCTTAAAACTTGTTAATTCTCAACATATTTGACTTAGAGAAAGTATAACACTATTTTTTTCTATGGTGTGCGATTTGATTAAAAATGTTCATTGCCTTTATATTCCAGCTGTAGACACGCTGTGATTGCGTCTTATTTTGGAGACAGCAAACCAAAGGTTCGTCTATAAACAGCGTACTAAGTGTTTTGTTTGGTTGTTTATTTGTTTGTTAGTTTGTTTGTTTTTTCTAAACGTTCTTAGTGCTCCAAAAAATGCGCAATTTTCAAGAAGAGAATCTACCAGATGCTAGTTCCTCACGGAGTTTTGTAAGTGGCCGAGAATCAGCCCATGGATCTCGGCATCTTAAAGTTAGTGTTAGGTATCATTTTGAAGGAAGACACATTTTCTTCAGAGTAAAGTGTGTGTCGCAGGCGTTTATAAGATAGTCAATGCAGAGCGCGGTTTGATTGAGCGTGGTTGAACCAAAACCTGACAGCCAATCAAAACTAACGTGAAGGTTGATGGAATTACGTGAGTTTCTAAACCAATCACAGAGCTTGATAAAGCAAAACCAATGCGATTCCGGAGTGTTCTTGGTGGGTCGATAGGGTACTCAAAACTTAATTTTGCCTTTTTGCCCATTTTCAATAACAAGTAATCACTACACAACCTATGGTTTAAAATCATGGAGGATTACGGCACTAAAACTATCATGTAACTCAATACCGGACTCGTATAGAACTATTCGGTCTTTTAAGGTTTTTAAAAATGCTATTAGAAAATTAGACTTGTCAGGTTTGATATGATCGTAAATTTATTATTAATTATGAGTAAGTTATATCTAGTCCTGTAAATAGATTTCAATTTTAAATTTGAAAATTATATTATATCTTTAGTTACTTGTTGAAGGTATTTTTTTCACAATTTTAGTTTTTATTTTTTATTTTCTGTGTTACACCTGTAAACTAGCTGGTGAGTTTTTCTCACAAAAGCTAAGCGTATATACACAATAAACTTGACTTGACTTGACTTGAAGTTCATTGTCTCTGTACTCACAGTGTCCCAAAGGCTGTGACTACTGTAAAGATCCTAATGCAGTAGACAATCTTGTGGACCACTGGCGCCGCGGAGTAATGGCAGGTCACAATAGAAGCGTGACGGCTGGAAGAACCTACATTACTTACGGTCTGTCGAGCGGAGAAGATGACGAGCTTTATGGAGGGGGAAAGTGGGGATACGACAGAAAGTAAGAATATATGGTTACCACGAGGCTGGAACTCTTTCAAGATTCAAAATTAAATTTTGATAGGTCCTAGGGCAAATAATTTGCATTCAAGAGAATTGTAGTTTTTAGAAGGTTTGCTTAAATGGTCGCACCTTAGAATTTTGTCCACAGTTTCAATGGTTGCAACTTTATTATTAACTTTGGAGCAAAATGGTGGAGGCCTTTTGAGATGGTAAACAAGCCGGATCCTCTATAACCGTAGATGCTTTACTAGTGACTCGTTCGAGACGATTTATGGTGCAGATTGGTTTTCATCGTGTGAAAAGAAGTAATTGCTGAAAATAATGACCAGTAGCTTTCATCCTCTAAAAATCTAATTATTTCTATCTGTCGGGTAGATTTAGCATTTGTCACTGGTAAGACAGTGATGCTGATTTAAGATAGAGTAAGGTCTTGTTCTGTTGCTTCTTCGTTATTATGGAGGACAATTGAATAGTCCCATGATATCTTGATGCTTGGAATTTCCAGGGTATTTGAAGACGAAGACAATGATGATGATAGCGGTGCAGGAGCTAGTGAGGAAGAACGTGCTTTCCGATGTAAACTGATCGCGAATGAGTTCAGGAAACGTCGCAGGGTAATGTAATGATGAAGACCGACGCAGTCTCGTTGGCAGCTCGAAAGAGGCTTTTCAAGAAGAAAAATTGTGTGCTTTAAGAACGCTGTACAATTGAGTGTTGAGAAACTAAAACCGATGTTGTCTGAAGCGCGAAGATAAAGATTCTTTTTCGATTCTTGAAAACTGGCCGTTGCATCTCTTTTTTTTTTTTTTTTAAGTTCCAGCACCTTGTTAGCTGAGCGTCGTCGCTAAATAAAAACCAGGGCCCAGTTGTTCGAAAGCCGATTAGCGCTAACCCAGGGTTAGATTTTAATCCCGGTTTCTATATTACTCTGTTCAAAAGTCGTTTGGAATAATTTTCCTACTTGTTTTTAATCATCAAGTTGTAGACAATGGAATTAAACTGAATTTTCTTTTAAAGCTTTCAGACCTGATATCAAATTTCACACAAACCTTGGGTTATCTTAACTCAGCTTTGAACAACCCAACCCAGATGTCATAACCTCCAAAGAAGTGGAAATTATAAACTCAGACTCACAGTTATGTAATTAAGTGTTCAGCGCTTTACTTAATTGAGTAACATGTAGTATGCAGCTGTTTTTAATAAGCGCAAAGTTTAGCATCAGAGTTCATTCTTACTCCCTCTTCTTTTTGTGTGTGTGTAGGGACAGCCTCCGTCCTCTTCGATCAGTCACCAATCACCCAGTAAGTTTGTTGATTAATTCTTTTGAGTTAAAGATCGTAGTTTTCTTACCAGCCTTAAGTCATATATAGAAAGTGGACTAAGTATCCTGAAAATCAAACCAGAATTATTTTGGCAGAAAATGCACGACTGTAGTTATTACTCGGATAGAATCGAATGCAGGATGGTACCTCGTAAAAATCTCGAACTCACAAGATTACCTTTCTGAAGCTGAAGCTGTGCCTTTCATGAAGAATTTTAATCATGGATGCTTGAGATGTGAGTCCGGTTGTAGCGTGCTGTGACACCGAAACAACATGGCAAACCTAAAGGTTGGAAGAACGCTAATTAAAGACCCTTTTTCAAAAATCCTGGCCAGGTCCCTGCAGTACCAACCATATTTTTTCATTCTTCGTTTGCAATAGGTCCCGACTGTTGTCTCAAAGAAGCAACAAACTACTTACATATTCCAAAGCTTTCCGTTCAGGTAGGATTGTAAAGTCTGGTTAAATCTCACCATTGTGTAGATCTTGCATGAAAGAAGCTTCGATCTTCCGGCTTTGCTCTCTCCATGTTTGGAAGCTGTGTGGCCGTCAGCTTCCGAGGCATACAAGCTCTTTCGACCAAGAAAAATTGGTGATCCTTAGTATGACCTCATTATATCCCTTATTTTGTTCCAGGTAAGAGAACATTGCTTTAGTCTGTTGGAGGAAGCAATGAAAACAAATATAAATCAGTGTGCCAAAATGGAAGATTGTGCAAGGTATGCCTAAATACGATCGCGAATTTGTTCCGTTTGTTATAAAAACTTGTAGTCTTGCTTGTCTTGACATTGTCCTACTTACTGGGTAACACAGTGAGCACGGAAAGCCGCCATTCTCGAGTTTTCGATTGTTTATTCCAGTTCGTCGAGGCGAAGAAATGTAAGTTGATTGCCTTGCAAGCTGAAAAAGCTTACACACTTGCGAGCAGATTAATGAAACAAAGATAGAAACAAAACAAAAAAATATGCGTCCCATCGTTTCTGTTTATAAGTGACAGCACTAAGTGTGATAAAGACGGCAGCTTGCTTTCACTGCGCCTTCTCTGCCGTACAATGGAGAAACACAATCACAGTCACAACCTTTTTTCGGGCTGACAACCCCAACAGCAACCGCGACAAACACGGGACATTAATATGCTTAACGTTTTTCCCCTTTGGTTTTGTCCATGTTTAGGTTATTGTTTGAGATGGAGTCCACTTCGGTTGAAATTGAACATACTACCTTCAAGAATAGCAAGTCTGATCTCGGATACAAGACTACCATGCTCAGAAAGGTACCATGAAATAATTATCTTTAATCGTGGCCATTTCAGTTTCGGCAGTCATTTCCCTTTCTTATCCAAACTTGCTCTTTCTTTTGCCATATTTGGAGTTGGGCACGTTTGATATTGGAAAAAAAAATAAAAATTTAGGTTATATTTGGCGTCAGCCATATTGTTGTACCGTACTTGGCCATATCAATGTACCAAACCAGTTCTTTTGACGTTGAATTTCGCTTCAATGTAAACTATGTCTTTTTATGTCTTATTGTCATATTACGAGTAACGAAGAGTATTTGTCTCATTCAATGGTCACCAAATATCCTATCACTGTAGGGGTTACATTTACTTTGATTGTTGGTATAATTTTAGGTTAGTGAGGTGAAGTCCAGGACAAGTAATGGAAGCGTTTTTGTTTGGGATGGAACCTACTCGAACAGTACAACCTCGTCAACTTCAGTCATGAACGACACAAACGGATACTTGGACGAGGTATGTGTCAGTGTTTCTACTTCGTCCGATATGAGTCATCTCTGGCTTCTGAAGCCTCGTTAAGATTTTAACCTGAGAAAAAAACTTTTTCTGCTCTATCTCAACTGAAAGCTTTGGAAAACCATTCACCGCAGTTAAAGCACAGATGTGTACTGTTTGTGTCTCTGCAGTTTCTGTAAGAAATTTACAGCGAAAACTTAGGAATTTAACGATGGAAATTCTCTCCGCGAAACCGAAAACAAAGTATGCAAATATTCGTGTATACACTAAATGTCAATAATGTTGAGCGGTGCTTGATGTTTAAGTGCGTACAAAGGCCCATGAAACCACTCGCGCTGGGGCGAGAAAGAGCGTCTCTGTATTACGGTTTTGCATGGTGTAAAGTACCTTCGGAGACTCCAAAATTTTGAGACGAGCGCGTCTTAAAGTACGAGTTTAACAGCGCATTTCGATCGAGGGTCTTGATTTTTGATGGAGGCAGTAGAGCCCTTTCGTGGTCGAAAAAAAAGATAAAACTGCTAGGCTTTCGATAACTTTTTTTTTGCTAGCACTCTGTTTTCGATCCTGCTTAGGACAGTGATCGCACTTTCCATGCCAAAAGATGCTTGTGCGTGCGCTTCTCATGTTTCGCTGTTGGGAAATCTTACTCATGGTCGTACTCGTTCTGAACTCTAATTAGATCTCTTTCAGGACTAGTTTGCATAAATGTTACTTTGAGGTATTCCTTTCCCGCTCCCCGCTGAAAGCAATTTCCTTTTCCAGGAAAAAGAGAAGAGGGACAACAAGGGTTGCGCTTCATTTGTGTCTGCACTGCAGTTGATGGTACGTCGAACTTTCACACATTTCTTTTCTTTTTTCTTTCTTCGCCATTATAATTAAATTCTAAGACGGCCATTAAAGAATTAGTACTTCAGAATAAGGGTTGTGACACGAGGCTATCCACTTAGAGCGCGAGAAACCATAACCGTCTGATTCAATATTCTTTCTAACTATGTGCTGGGACTCTTTCTCACTGGCTAGTGCTTCATGTATATTGCAGTTGCAATAATGAAACTATTTCTAGCGGAAGTTAGTTTGTTTTATTTTGACTAACGTCTTTTACGGTTTTTTTTTTTTTAGGCTAAACGTTAAGGATAAGTGTGTTCTAGAAACTGGTTAATTTTATCTCCTCCACGTCACTCAAAAATTGCTTTCCAATATGCCAAAAAAACTACTATGGTCGACACCATTTTAGATTGATTTTCCTTAGTAACCTGGCCGTCAACCGATAAGTCAAGAAAGTCTCTCCCTCCTTTTTTAATCTCTGGCCAATCTGTTGGAACAATTACAATCTGTTGAAAAAGGTTCAACAGAATTTTTTGTTTCACTTTGAACTTATTTGTCTCTCATTTCACATAGAAATCAAGTGATACCATAACAAAAGAGCCCGCAGAATCTAAACAACCTGTTAAGGTAATAATCCAACGAATGCTTCGATTGATGCCAAGGAAGCGATAATCAGATAAACTGAATGTCTATTTGCTCTATTTTTTGCTTATCTATTTATGTTTTGATTCTGTTTTCTGTAGGCTCCTATTCGTAGAGTGATTCCGACAATAAAATACTTCTTCGAGATCGGGTAAGATCACACTGTATTGCAGTTTATAATTAGATTCCAGCTACCGTACGTTTTCTGATCAACTTCCCGCCAATGACTGTGATGAACATAAGTATTCTTTGTTGACAAACAATAGCGGGAGGCACACAATCACCTGAGAGAACCGATCAAACGTTTATTGATAAGCGTAAAAAAAGTTACCATCCTAAATTTTCATTAGCAAGGACGAAACTCAAACTTAACACTCAGTCTCCGTACTTCTACGCGTCACATGACATTTTAGCTATTTGCGGATAGTTTGCCTTAGCTTGAATTTGAAACCAATGACATCGAATTGTCGAAATGTCATTCGCTTATTTTTATATTCAATTATATATATTGAATACAGTGGTAATAGTGAAATCAAAGAAGAACCCTTGCAGCAAACGCAACAGCCACCGCACCAGAAACCGCAGAAGCAACCGCAGCAGCTGACGAAGCAAAAAACACCAAAATCACGATGCGTAGAAAAAGGTGCAAGAACGTCAGCTAAAAAGCGAAAAAGTCACAAACAACCTGCTTCAGAGGTTAGTGAACCCCTTTGTTTCAAAAGCTGTTCGTTTTTGAAAGTGGAAGGTTTTATCTTTAAGTGCTTGAAATTCCATTCAGGCCGTCAGTTAATTTGCTAATATCTTTTATCCTTAAAAAGGGCTTTTGGTGGTTGGAAGATTCACCTCTTCGCAAGAAGACCAGATTAGAAGATAATCATTCAAAACATCGCAGTAAAACTGGAAACGCCGCGATTTCCAGTGACGTCTTCTTTAGCAAAGCGTCGGAGTTGAAACCTTTGAAACGCGTCAGCAACGGTGCCTCGTGCAAGCTTAATGATACAAATTCAGTTACATGGCAAATGCTTGAAAGTTATTCACCAAAGGACAGGCAATCGCTGAGCATTGGTCCTTCGTTAAAGACAAACACTACGGCCTCTAACAATGGCGTTCATCAAAGGAGAAGGTCGGATGATGGCTCGCCACTTTGCATCCATGGTAATGTCTCGCCAGGAGACTCTGCGGGTGTAAAGGACGTAGCGAATGTGGTTGTTAAGTACTTGTCTCCGTACCTCAAACAAGGTTCTATTGCCTCCAAGGTAATTTCCAGCAATACATCCTGAATATGATCAGTAGAACCGTGAGGGAACTGGGATTAAGACAGAAAAGCCGTGTTTTTTTTTTTTCTGCTTTTCAGCTTCTAAACGAGGAAACTGTCATTCCTATCAAACCTTTTCAGCGTTCTTGCTACTTGTGATGACTTTCAACTTATCGATAGTAGAGATTATTTCTTGACCTACTCAGTAGTCCTTAATGGACTCGCCGTAACCTGCAAACTGTTGTTGCGGTACTACTTGATCAAATTATCCAACGGTTTTTTTTTCTTGTCTCTAAATCTGAATAACTTTGCCGGATATTTTGGAAAAACTTTGTTGGATATTTTTGTTTTCGATATTTTTAAACCTCTCCTTCGTCCTAGTGGCTGTCTTAAACTGTCCATGTGATCCATTGACTTTTCTGCTTGCCCCACATAACTGAATAGAATCTGCAAGGAAGCACTCTTACAATAAGGTTTTTCGTGGTCTCTGCTTGTGTGTCAGTACAGCAAAATTGCTTATAGTTTCGAGCACAGTCGTGTTTTCATTATAATTGTATCTTATTATTTTCACAATAACAGGCCTTGTTTAAGTTTTTGGCTCGCTGCATCACCCACAGACTTATGGGAACTGGCAAAGCCTCTACTTCTTCAAGTAAGTGCCTACTGATATGTTCACTGTCGGCATTTTTCTGCATAGTGTTGACTAACTGGTCTTTCCGTATTTCAATTCTTCTCTCGAAGCGTTGTGTGATCCCCTGCATTAAAAGTTCCTCTTAAGAAAACTAGTTTTACTGCGTGGAAGAGCACCAAAGAGGTAGAAAGACATATGTTGAAGGATTCACAACATTGCTACGGATTGCAAATGAAGACTTTAAAATGTAGTTTAAATTTCTCCTTATGCACCAATCGTACCGGTGCTCCTTTGAACAACAGCCAAAGAAAGTTTCTAAGTATTTCTCCCTCGAAGCATGACACCTTACAGCGTTTCTTACTTAGTCTTGCTGTACCTAATCTGGTTCGTGCCTCTCTCTCTTTAAAGGAAAACAAGAAGTTAAGACGACAGTGAAGAAGTTGTTTGAGGTTTGCAAGAAATTTGAAAAAGAAAGTGACTGGGAGAAATACCTTCGAGCTGTAGAATCTGGCAAGGCATAATCATTACAAAGTTAATTTCAAGAATCTCTATTCAGCGGATATTTTTTCTGTCGAAGGAATGTGAAAATATTTTTGTTATTACAACCGTTGTGTTAAACACTAAATGAGACAATTTAAGTCAAATTCATTATTTATATGACCATAGTAAGTAAAATTATTGAATTATCAGAATTGACAAAGGGGAGATTGATTTACTTATCGATACTTATAGAGTATAGTGAATGTGCTTGATGACGTTAACTTGTCACGGAAGGACAAAGTGACGATGTCAAATGCCCGGAAAAAGACTCCACTCTCCGACCCCGTTCCAAGATTTCTTTTGCTGCCCTCCCCTACGAAAATAGAATCAAATTTAAGGGGGGAGGAGGGAAATGTGGGGGCGTGATCAGAGAAATCGTTTACATAGCCCAGAAAGAGAGATCGCGTAATCTTTGTATCTGGTAAAGTAAGATCCATGTCGGCGTTTAGAAAAAATCGCTAAATAGCTACAAACACCTGGATGTCGAGAAACGGACTATAGGAATTATTTGCAGGAGCTTTACTGGCGATAGAGCACAAATCATCGGTGCAGACAGTAACACACAAAGTTTGGGGTGTCTGCCTGAGAGTGCGTAACGGCGTGAGATATAGCTCCATGACAAACCAAAATTTGAGCTCTTGTCATTTGTGCTGCCAGAAATATTGCCTACAAGTCTTCAAATTGGCCTTACGGCAAAACCTTCTTCTTAAGCGTGGTGTAGTAGACATCTATATTTATACAGGATAGCCCCTTCAGTGTAGTAAACACTGGTATCAACGGAGGTCCTGTCACCCACTCATCCCACCCCAGGGGAGGACATCCATCACACAGTAATCTCGTGCGTGGGAAATTAACGTCTCCTGCCCCTAACCCTGCTGAAGACGGGACCTCCATTTATTCGTCCCTATCCGAGAAGAGTAGAATATCTAATCATTTCTTGATGTTATAGAAAGGTAGCATATTCTTCTCAATTATTTTAAGATCCTGAGTGTTGGTCCGGCCGGGGCTCGAACCCTCGACCTCCCGCACAACAGTCCAGCGCTCTATCCATTGAGCTAACCGGGAGGCGGTTTAATTGGCGTATTTTGATTACTTCCCTTTCTTTATCTTGTAGCCAGTTCATGTTCTCAGAGAATCCTCACAAAGCTTAAACTCTTTTGGGCGGCACACACCTGTCGAGGGAAGAAAACTCCTCCACCTTTTCCTCACCGCCCTGGGCTCTTAACTTCTGTTTCCGAACTGAGAAAACTGCAGACGAGGCTGCGTCGGAACTCTCCGGGACATTAACCCGGTTTGAGTAGACTGCGCAGAGTCTTGGCTTCAATTAAAACATTCCTTGCATGGCTCGAAAAATTTGTGACAAAAGTTTTCAGTTAAATACTCTGAGCACTGACAACAGATATCATAGCAAGAGCAGTGTCTACCTAGTATGCTTTATGTATAATAATTTGGCTGGCCTGGAATAGTTATGCTTCGTCC